TCTGTGAAGAGACAACAGAGCCTCTGTAGCGGTCACCAGAGCCTCTGTGAAAAGACACTAGAGCCTCTGTGAAGAGACAACAGAGCCTCTGTAGCTGGCACAGACCAAAACCTCTGGTTGTTCCATCCTCTGGTCTTTTAAACGACTTCTTCAGGATCCTATTCTGGATTAGGCTAATCCTAAAAGATTTAGCTTTCAAATAAAGATCTCGTAATAAGGTTCTAACCTGGAAATCCAAAAGTGCAGAGTTGTTACACTTCAGAAATCTTCTTGGGTTCGATCATACTTAGAAAGTTGGTGAACAGGTATTCATTTGTAGTAGCAGATCTCGTCTTGACACCGGATGATGGATTACCAATGATTTGGTGATGAGGATGGTCTTTTGTCCACTCGGTGCAAGATTGAGGTTATGGAGAAACAGAATGCACTTCTTCATTGGTTGATGGAACTACTTGCTCCACCTCAAAGATATCATCTCTAGAGTCTAGTTCTGAAGACATAGGAGAAGTAGAGGGTGAAGTAACATGAGTTTCAGAAAGAGTTGTACCTTTAGCATTGGAGACTTCATGTGATTCATCGGCTCTAGAAGAAAATTCTTCAATGGGTGCTTGTCCAGAGGCTGCCTCTTCTTCAAAGATGTCTTCAAATAAATGAGCGAACTCTAATTCATTGGGTTTGCTCAGTGGTGAATTAGAGGCTCTATGTGATAGCCCGAGTCCTGAACTGCTATGTTCAGAAGTCATGGGTGAAGAATCATTAAACGACACATTGATGCTTTCGATGATGATCTTTGTCCTTCTGATGAACACACTGTAGGCCTTGGCAGTTTGAGGGTAACCCAGAAATATTCCTTCATCAGCCTTGTTGTCGAACTTGCCAAGATATTCCCTATCATTGATGTTGGGTTTAAGTAAGAACTTTATTGTTGTATTCAAGTTTCTCCTTAGTTTACTTGCTTTGTAATAGTGTAGCTTTACTATTTCCTTAGTATAAATAGTATTTTCCTTGTAATTGTC